GGGTGCGTACAACCCTGCGTACTAAGGCGATCTGAAGTACGCTCAACGTATAAGGGTGTACCGCCTGCGTACGAGGGTGTACCCCCTGCATACTCCAACAACTCCGAAATTACGAAATTGCCATTGGGGACTAAATTATAAATAAAGCATAACTCAAAGGCTAAAACAAATACCTGAATAGTAGATGTTACAATTAAATGGTTGGGTTAGGGTCAAGACTTTCAACTCGAATATGACCCATTTAATTATATATCAATTTTTATAAATTTTATATTTTTATAAATATATTATATATTATAGACTTGTAGTGGGTGAAACTTAAAAATTAAAATTAAAATACAAACTTTTAAACTGACTTAATTTAATCTTCCTCACCACTTATACCTTTTGTTCTTAAACTCTAACTCTTTCCATTTTGCCTTCTAAACTTACTATAAATTTTATCAATTCACTTTATCAATTTCGCCTCTCTGTCTCCTACTTTCCAACCTTTAAAATGTTTAAATCCGACATGACACAACATATTTACAAGGTCAAAACCTTAACCCGAAACCCGGCAAAAAATAAATGGGTTGACACGATACGACATAATAATTAAATGGGTCGGGTTAGGGTCAAACTCTCACAACTCGTTTAATGTCTTCATGTCTTGACACGACACGAACCCGACTCGATACGACTTGTTTGTCAGGTCTAGTTAGCCATGATTACTCTTCTCTCTAGTTTATATGGAAGCTAAAAATAAACTCCTTTTTAACAAAGTGAGGTGTGCTCCTATAAAGACAGACGAACGAGATTCAAGTTTCTATTTTTAGATGGAGTACGTAAACATAGGTCTAAGCAAGGGTGGTCTACTACCGTGTACCCCTAACTCTCTCGTGCAACCCATGTTGTAAAATCTTGCGTCTGCCCCGGGTCTAAGTTAACTTCCTTAGATTTGCTCTTCTATAGGTCTAAGTAAATATAGGTCTAAGTTTCTATTCAACTAGTTGGATTTACTCTTCAATGTTAAACTATATCTTTAATTGTTGCCCTGACATCTTGCTACATTGTTTTGTTTCAATGCATCTCCATCATTCTAAAAAAAATTAATGCTTGAATTTTATAATTAATTTTTTTTACTATTTTTATCTTTTTTCACATGTGATAGCTGTACGTTGTCATTAAATAAAATTCACAAAAAACCCTTATACTTATAATTTTTTACGTTTTACACTAAGTATATTTTGCTTTTATATTATACATATTCATACCGAAAAAACAAAATTTATATATGAAAAAATGTTTAAACAAACATTGTATTTACGTTCTTTTCAAATTGTATTTTTTTTATACAATTTTTTTTCCTATGTAAACGGTTTAAAATGTAAAATTAAGTTTTTTAGAAGTATAAATACATATTTAGAGTATAGATATATTTTTTAAAAGTATAAATACATATTTTTACATTTTTTTAGAAACATTAATATGTTTTTCAGAAATATAAATACATATCTTTATGTATTTAGAAATATATCAATCAAAAATGTTTTATATGCAAAATATATATATATATATATATATATATATATATATATATATATATATATATATATATATATATATATATATATATATAAAAACTTCTATAAATGTAAAAATACATATTTATACTTCTAAGTCTATACTTCTAAATACATACATATTTATACTTCCAAAAGCATGTATTTGTACTTTTAAAATACGTAAAAATATGTGATTATACTTCTAAAAGAAATATGTTTACGTTTTTATAAGTATAACTATTTTTAGAAGTATAACATGTTTTGACGAAGTATAAATATATATTTCGACGTATTTAGAAGTATATTTCATATTAATATGTCTAGAAAACGCAGAAATACGTATTTATACTTTTAAAATGTATCGATACTTCTAAATACGTAAGAATATGTATTTATATATCTAGAAACCTATTTTTAGGTTTTAAACCGTACAAATAGACAAAAAAAAATCTTATACATAAAGAAATAGTATTTCTATAGAATGTAAATACAATATTTGTTTAAACATTTATTTTTTTCATGTATAAATATGTTTTTTTAGCATGAATATAAACATACTTAGGGTAGAAAGTAAAAAAAATTATAAATTTAAAGGTTTTCTTATGAATTTTATTTCATGGTAACCTTAAAACTATATGTAAAGAAGAAAAACAAAATATAAAAAAATTGTATGTTCAAACATTTTTATGTTCGTTAATGCATACAAGCTTACACCATTTTTTTTTTTTTTGATAAACTTGAGGGATCGTGTCAAAAGCCCTTAAAGATATTATCTGCATTTAAAGCTAAAACCTTTTTTTTTTTTTTTTTTAGAGAAAATGATTATAATAACCCTTTTTCTGAGGTTTTTCTACAAAATAGTCAAGAAATATAAAATACAAAAAATAACCATAATTTTCACAGACAACTCTGCGAAAATCGAAATGGCCTGTGGAATTTATTTTTGTTCAAAAACCTAATGACGTCGTTTTGTCATCTGCAAAAATGACATCACCTGCGAAAATCTGTAAAATGCTATATTTTTTGAAAAAGTTTGTATTATCTTGTCATATTGACCCTGAAATCAGAGACCATATTGTCAAAATAAAAAATACGTACCGCAAAAATCCATACAATGTATTCCATACAATTACTATGATAATAAAAAATATATTTAGAGCCAACTGGTATATCTTTTTTTTTGTCTAATTTTGCTAGAAATTTTTTCCAACTTGCACTTTCTATTTTTGTTAACAAAACATGAGTTTCAACATTCCAAATGAGTATGACTTGTCAGCCTCCACATTGGGAATGTGTTGTGTCAAGATATTACAAATAACAACGAAAAAACAGTCCAAACAGATTTTGTATGAAAGAGTTGCAAATGCTCAAAATACGGGAAAAAAAACTAGATTTTAGCACGCCATGTAATTTTTTGTAGATCATTTGGATTTTCATAAATGTGGCCTAAAAAAATTATAACTATTTTGGGTCACTTTTTTTTATTATTTTTTTACTATTTTATAAAAAAATAGAACTTAATAAAAACGGTTATTATTGTCATTCTCTCAAAACTTTAATTATCCTCTCTATTAAATAAAGAACTTTTTGTCACATATCACTCTCATTTATTTTGGCACATATTATTTTGTGGTTATTTTCAATTAATTTTTTTCCACGTGGCATTTTATGGTTTTTTTTTTATTTTATTAATTTCCACATAATATTTAAATATAATAATTGCAATAAATGTAATAATAAATGAATATCAATTTCATTAATTGACTTCCTTCTAATTTTAAAATTTCTAAATTAAAGTTTCATTAATTTCCTTTATTTATTTATCTAAATTATTTGTTTAATTTAAAATAAAAACAAACAATTTAATTTTAATAATTCAGTATTTTTTTCTTATAAATTCAAACTTCTCAAATGTTTAAAATTCATATTTTTTCTTTAAAATTAACTAATATAATACATAGGTCTTACACCTAGTGAATTTATGTTCATCAGTGTAATCATGCATTTTAGGTATTTCAAATACCGAAAAAGACTAAGGGCTGTTATGCTTAATATTTATGTTTTTTGGTCGAATTATAATCTATTCTTTAATTTTTATAGAGATAATGACTTGATAGGGTAAGATATTTTTTGAAATGTACACATTTAGTCATTATTCTTTTTTTCTTGTAAAATAAACTCTTATACTTTATTTTTTGTAACAATGCAGTCCTTGTGACCGGCTATACCCGGTATACCAGTCATATATGAATTTTCTTTTAGGGAAAATGACTTGATAGGGTAAGATAATTTTTGAAATGTACACATTTAGTCCTTATTTTTTTTTTGTAAAATAAACCCTTATACTTTATTAATATGTACACATTAGGTCCTTTTCACCGGATTTTACAGGTTTTGCTGATGTGGAAGTACAACTGGCACTAAATAACAATTAATTAGCTTGTCACCGGAGGTGGGTGATCCTCCAACAACAAGAAAAGGGTGGTGACCCTTCTCTTTCTTGTCTCTCTTCCTTTCGGTTGAACAACAACAGCCAAACACCATTTACCTGTTGTGTTTCTCCGATCTGTCTCTCTTTGCCTCCATCTTTGAGATATGTTGCCAGAAAAAGAAGAAAGAATCGACGAGGGGGCTACTAGAGCAACTCCTCGCCGCCAACTACTGTCTCTACTTCCTTCTGCCTCACCCTTCGACCTTGTTGTTTTTGTCATCATTCCTCCTTGCTACCAGTGATGTGTAGGAACACACAAAGGAGTCACCGGAGATCGGGGTTATCCCTCTTTTTCATGATGAATAAAAGTTGGAAAAATCTCGTTGTGGATATGTGAATGTCACCTAGGTATTTCATTTCAACAAAATAAAAGAAATGAAAAATGACTTGATAGGGTAAGATACTTTTTAAAATGTACACATTTAGTCCTTATTCTTTTTTTTTTTTGTAAAATAAACTCTTCCACGTCAGCAAAACCTGTAGAATCCGGTGAAAAGAACCTAATGTGTACATATTAATAAATGTGTACATTTTACAAGAAAAAAAGAATAAGAACTAAATGTGTACATTTTAAAAAATATCTTACCCTATCAGGTCATTATCTCATTCTCATACCCAACAACAAAAATCATAACACAAAGCCAAATCATCACCTTCTAGTTTCATGCTTAAACTTGAAGTTGTTTTTCTCGGGTTATCTCCAAATAGATTTCAAAACACCCACACAATTAAGGGTCGAAATATGACTTAAAATGCATATTAAGATCAAGTTCGATACCCAAGTCATTGATATTATCGTATGAATCCCACAACATTTATTACCATTAAAAACAAGCATTCAAATAATATATGTTTAGATAAGTCCATGGTTAAGTTCCAAATAATCATAAACTCTTTGTTTTCTCATTTTGCTATATACTTATAGCATACCAAAATAGTTTCCAATAACTTTAAGTAATTGGCATGTAACAAACTAGTAGATATAAACTCTTTGTTTTCTCATATTAATTGTGGGACCGGTTGTTATAACTTTCATAAGATAAATCAGATTTCAACAATAAATTTGTCTCCACAATTTTGGTTGTGGGACCCACTAACAGAAAACGGAATATCAAATCACGAAACATTTGTGTTCGGATCTTTATATTACTTGCTACATACATATACATTAAAATTTATATAAAGACCACAACATCATTTTCCTTGTTTCCGCTTAGATCTTGAATCAGCCCACGAAAAATACCCACAATTCGCTTCAGGATTCGATGCGGGTCCCTATAAAACCAAATTTATTAGACAACATTTTATTTTATTTTTACCCAAAACTTGTTAAATCCATCTTAATTTTATGCATAATTGCAACGTATTTACATTTTCACCCATAACAGCAACATACCTCTGCACGAGCACAAACATAAAACTGTCGACCAAAAGTGGGCCCCGCTTTCTTCACGACCCGAGAAACACATTGTTCGCCGTGACCTTTACACACAGGTATGCTTTTTTGCATGAATTCTTGAATTCTTTTCCACTCTAATAAAGCAATTTTACTCTGATCAGATTGAGATGAATTACAACCGTTGGATTCACTCTCAGATTCACTTTTATTAATCTCAGTTTCACAAACCTCAACAGCATCACTTTTTGAAGTGGTTTGAAAAAAGGACTTGAGTGAGAGCTGTGATGAATGATTCTTTTTTGGTTTTTTCTTCATTTCTGTAAAATTCATTGCATTGATTTTGATAATATCATTTGTTTGAATTGAACTTGTGGAATCAAAAACAGGTCTTTTAACTCCTTTATTATCTTCATGGGCTTTCACTTCCTCTGTTGATTGCCTTCTTGATAACATCGATACTGCAAAATGTTTCTTTTTTTAAATCTTTTGTATGTGCAAAAGACGTAAATACCCTTCTTAAGGCTTAGAAAGTTTTTATTACCAAGAGTTTGCTGACATCCTCTAACTTGAGGACAGTATCTAGTGGATAGAGGCGGAGTGTTATGTGGTTGAATGTCAGGGATTTCTTTTAAACTCATAAAGACAGGGGCATGATCGGAACCTTCCAACTTCATGCTTCCTCCTCCTTTCCATCTATAGCTGCAAGGGTAAAATAGTCATTTACTCACATTCAGACAGTTCATTCAGTCGAAAAAAGAAAAGTCTTTACGTATACAACATATTGCAGAGAGAATGACTTAATAGTAGTAAATAGCCAAGGGATGATGTGTTTGAGGCAGGGGTAAAACGGTAATTTTACCTTGGTGTGGTCCCGGGTTTCCACCGTTTGAATTGTGTTAATATATCACAATCTTTAACATGGCATGAGAAAAAGTTGTGACCTTTGAGATCCTTATTTTCATGTAAGCATGAACCACTAATTAAAATATGATCAATTCTTGAACCAAAATTGAACATTTCACCACCTGTGTTTGTTGACCAACATGTATACGCTTCTTTTCTATAAAAAAAAATTTTAAAAAAATAATATTTAAAAAGTAGTCAAGAAAAAAAAATACATCAATAATTTTTGGTCCAATGACATCAATCAGTCTGAGTCTCAGACTCTCAGTCCAGTGCAGGCTAAAAACAGTACAATCTATTCTGTCATGTCTTGTCCTATGTAAGAAACAGGGACTAAAAGTGTAAATATTAACTACAAGAGTTGTCTTAAACCTTTCAGGATGTTTTCCTCTGAACACATCGAAGAACAAGCCTCCATTTTCCACTAATAAAGATCTAAACCAGCTTCTAAACCTAATAATATTCAAAAATATAGTTTAAACTTTTTCCTTACAAGATTTAACATAAAAAAAAAAAAAAAAAAAAATACGATTATGAACTTTGGATAAAAGTAAGAATTTAGAAGCTCACTCATTATTCTCAAAATCTGGTCCAGCATCACACCTATCTATAGAAGAAGGAGCAATGTTTAAATCACCAACAACAATTATCCTCTTTCCTTTAAGCATAAAAGACTCCCATCTTTTCTATATAACAAATCAAAATAACCAATCAGAAAGAGCCAAGTGTAAATATGTATTTCATGTGTTATATTATTATTATTAAAACCTGGAGTATCTTGTAGAATGAGAGCTTGAATTCAATTCTTTCTGTGTCATCAGATGCAGCTCGAGGCCCATAAATGTTGAAAAGAACTGTAACATTTTATGCTTCAATAACATAACTTTAGAGATATTGAAAATAAATGTTATTTTGAAAAGTAATAGCATGAGACTCACCAAAATGACCATGATCAGTGATAATACAACGCCCCTCATTGTCAATTTTAAGAAGTTCATCTCTGTTAAATCCCTCAAGCCCTTCGACACATGTGAGAAGATCATGTTTTTTGGTTGTAAATCCTTTAGAATTCTCTAGAACGCCAGTGAAACCTTCTTCTGCATCAAGTGGAAGTGCAACTTCATTGCTTGAAAAAGCAGAATTTACTTTGCAAAATGTTGCAACACCTGCGTTAATAAATAAATTGATAGAAGATAACCATCAATCAACATGAATGTGGTTGGGGCATTTTAACGAACAGATTAGCTGCTTACCGGAATAACCAGTGCGGCCTTTTTCAAGAGAACGTGTGCAAGAGAAGAAGGACTCGTACCCATCTGCTGAAACTACGTCGGCTCTTAGTTCTTGTCTAGATAATTTCGTTTCCTTAAAATCCAAAAAGGAAAAGTGAAATCAGGTGATGAAGGGATCGGATAAGTATGAAATTAGGTAGAATTCATTAAGGATAAGAAATAATTTGCAGATACATTAATGGAAAGAGATGGAAAAGGGACCTGAAAGCAGATGATGTCGGAATCAAGAGAATCAAGGAGTTTACGGAGGGAGCCATACTGAGAAATTCGAGGTCTCAGTCCGTTCACGTTATACGTTGCTATCTTCATTCATAACTTAATTACTTCCTCTTCAGCGAGCAAACTCCAACCAGGCAAACCGCCATTGTTGGAGACCTAACGAGGCCTCGAAGTGAAGAATCCCCTTTCCATCAAATACGACGTCGTTTTTTTTTTTCTAATGATGTTTGGTTGTAAATGTTTGTATAAATTTTATAAAAAAGAGTAAAGACAAAATTACAAAAGTGATCGGTTTACCAAAAGTAACAAATTCAATCCCTGTTAATTATTTTTTATGCAAATGGTTCTTGTGATTTACAAAACTTGCATAAATGATCCTTTTTACTAACGTCGTTACTATTCTACCGTTAGGGAATCTGTAAGAGCATTTTCATCTTTTCAAATATAAAAGGACTGAATTCGTGCTTAACCAATTGAGTTGAATACTCTCTTGGTTTATTCTTTCTTAAAACTAATTTATATATTAACAAAAGGGAAAATGACTTATGAGGGTAACTACCTTTTATCCGTGTTCACATATTGGTAACTTCTTTTTTTTGTACATAATAAAGCAACTAACTTGTTTTAACTGTTTAAATTACACCAATATTACCAGCTAATATTTGTTTTAACCGGTAACTCAAAGGGAAAATGATTTAGGAGGGTAACTACCTCTTATCCGTGTTCACATGTTGACAACTTCTTATTTTTTGTACATAAGAAAGCAACTAACTTGTTTTAACTGTGTAACATCCCAAAAATTATGACCAAAATTTTGTATACCGAGAGAGACAGATATGTATACCGAGCGGGGTTCGATGCCAAACTGGGCCTGATGCCGAGCGGGGCCCGATGTCGGAGTATTAAATTAATGGTTTGACAATTATGGTTTTAGTATTAAATTAAAAACGAAATTTTTGTTCATGATTTTTGGGATGTTACACAGTTAAAACAAGTTAGTTGCTTTCTTATGTACAAAAAATAAGAAGTTGCCAACATGTGAACACGGATAAGAGGTAGTTACCCTTCTAAGTCATTTTCCCTTTGAGTTACCGCTTAAAACAAGTATTAGCCGGTAATATTGGTGTAATTTAAACAGTTAAAACAAGTTAGTTGCTTTATTATGTACAAAAAAAAAAAAAGTTGCCAATATGTGAACACGAATAAAAGGTAGTTACTCTCATAAGTCATTTTCCCTTTTTAAAATCGTTAAAACATAAACAATAAATAAATTAAAAAAAACATTTTTTTACATAATTTTTTTTTAAATAAAACAAAATGTATTTTAGTCGTAATATAAAAAAATAGTTTTTTACAAACAAATTGTATATATTTTTATATATTTTTTGTCTTTAAAAAATACATTTTCGTATAAAAAATACGTTTTTGTAAAAAATGTTTTTTATGTCTTTGAAATAGTAATAATTAACACTACTCATGACATAAAAAATGTATAAATTCTTTTGGGTCGCTAGTTCAAACCGTTTTTTCGGTTATATGTATTAAAAACAAATTAACAACGATTTTGTTATGTATCTAAACAATTTATACGGTTTTTTTTATTTCAAGAGTAGTGTTAATAATTGTTACTTCAAAAAGATATATCACTATGTATTTTCATCTTCATTTTAACCATACGATTTAGAATTTGCGATTAAGATTAAATACATATTTAAAAAAACATAAAAAAAAAATTGTATAAATTGTTTAGCTACATATAACCGGATATGTATATATCTTATCTAAAATATGTATTGGTCTAAATCGTATTTAAAAAAACATAAAAAAAACCGTATAAATTATTTAGATACATATAATCGAATATATATATATATATATATATATATATATATATATATATATATATATATATATCTTATTTAAAATATGTATGGTTCTAAATCGTATTTAAAAAACATAAAAAAAAAAAATCGTATAAATTGTTTAGATACATATAACCGAATATATATATATATATATATATATATATATATATATATATATATATATATATATATATATATATATATATATATCTTATTTAAAATATGTATGGTTCTAAATCGTATTTAAAAAACATAAAAAAAAACCGTATAAATTGTTTAGATACATAACAAACTTATTCGGTTAAAATACATATAATTGAATATGTATATACCTTATTTAAGATACGTATGGTTTTTTATATGTATTTAAAAAACATAAAAAACATATTGGTCATATATCTTATTTAAAATACATGTTTCATCTTAATCACAAGTTCTAAATCGTATGATTAAAATGAAGATGGAAAGACACAATTATATATCTTTTTGAAATAACAATTATTAACACTACTATTGACATAAAAAAATCATATAAGTTGTTTAGATAGATAACAAAATCATTGTTAATTTATTTTTAATACATATAACCAAAAAAATGGTTTCAGAACTAGCGACTTAAAAGACTTTATACATTTTTTTTATGTTATGAGTAGTTTTTATTATTACTATTTCAAAAACATAAAAAAAAAAACATTTTTTACAAAAAACGTATTTTTTATACGAAAACGTATTTTTCAAAGACAAAAAATATATATTTAACGTAAAATAAATACATAAAAATACATACAATTTGTTTGTAAAAAACTATTTTTTTATAATACGACTAAAATACATTTTGTTTTATTTAAAAAAAATTGATGTAAAAAAATGTTTTTATAATTTATTTATTATTTATGTTTTAACGATTTTATTAATATATAAATTAGTTTTAAGAAAGAATAAACCAAAAGAGCATTTAACTCAATTGGCTAAAACTTTGGTAATTTAAGGGGTGAATGATATGAGTTTGAGCCTTTTGCCTAGCAATTTAATTATTTGTTTCAAAGAAATTTCAAAAATGGTCCCTGTGGTTTAGTAAATATCACGAATTCAGTCCTTTTATACTTGAAAAGACAAAATACCCTTACAGATTCAGTCCCTAACGGCTGAATAGTAACGGCGTTAGTAAAAATGGTCATGTATGCAAGTTTTGCAAACCACAGGAGTCATTTGCATCAAAAAAAAATTAGCAGAAACTGATTTTGCTACTTTTAGCAAACCACATGGACCATTTTTGTAATTTTGTCAATAGTAAATTATATTAATGGCCTTCTAGTAATCTGTGCATTTCATTTTAACTTATTTTTTTTAGACAAAACCTCAAAAATGGTCCCTATGGTTTTCGAAAATATCAAGTTTAGTCCCTAAGTTCAAAAAACCTCACAGATGGTCCCTATGGTTTCAAAACTTTTAACATTTGGTCTTTTTCGCTAACTCCGTTAGCTTTTGGCCGTTAAATGAAGGGCAATTCTGTCATTTCACTTCCACAAGAACCATTTAAGAAGTTTTAACTTTTTTTTTTAAAAAAGAAAAATATATAATTATTTAATATTAAAGGGTCTCACCTCTCTCTCTCTTTCTCTCTCTCTCTCTCTCTCTCTTTTTCTCTCTCTTTCTTTCTCTCTCTCTCTCTCCGTTGCATCTTTTATTCCACTGTAGCCCCATTTTCCTTATTTTACATGGTCCAAATCAACGAAAAGATATCAAAATTTTGAATCTATAGCTCCAAAAGTCATGTTTCGCACCAGAGTCAGTGATTCCAAAGAAATGAACATCGGCAGGGTTATCGCTGAAAAAGGATTTGTATACGAAAAGGAATTGCATCTGACATTAATGAACTCGTTCTCATGGATTCCTCCGGCCGTTGCCTCCTCACATTCGCCGGAAGGTATGTTTGATGTTAAATTGTTAATTGTGTGTTTTTGCTCCGATTAGATTTACTTTCCACATGTCAAGGATTTCAATAACCTAAGTCTACATCAACAGTGCGAGGTTTTTTTGGGTGAGAGGATGGAAGGTGATAAGCCGATATTAGCGTGAAGAGATCTTCGATCATCAGAAAGTCAAACATAACGGTGGAGATGTTCGACGATCGTTCAGAGGAGTATCATATCGAAGGATGCTTCTCTCAGAGGAACTGCACGATATATGATTCAGCGAAGGAAACAGTGGCGGAGATCAAAACGCAAAGTGAATGCGTTTCCCGAAGGAGTAACTCGGAATGTTGATTGCTAGTTGAGCAGTTCGGATAGACTGAAGGCCCTGGAGGGCGGTCCAGGTCTGCTGAAGGTTATGAGAGTGGTCCAGTTTGGCTGAAGGCATGGTAAGGCGGTCCAGTCATGCTGAAGACTTTGCATGTGTCGTTAGATCGGTGCGAGGAAATGGATTGAGTATGTCGCGATATGTTAGCGTTGCAAGGTCTGGCCCCGGATATTGATCACGATCAGTGGAGGTAGTGCATGGACTTGAGAGTCTCGTGAGTGGATTCAGAGTATGTATGGTGCAGGGGATAGCGGTTATGCCATAATGAAATGGTGTAGTATTGGGTGAGCACCGTGGCACTTGTGGTAGTGTCAAGGCAGCCAAGTGGATCTCCTTGGTAAGGAAAAAGAAAAGGAATGTAGCTCCGAGGGGGAGTGTAAGTCATGGAAGTGAAATCAGTAGTGCGAGGTTATGACTGAGGTGTTTCAATTATGGTTATTGTGCAGTGTGTGCGGCGGTGATATGGAATCACATCCGGTTTGGATGTCTGCCGAGGTCACGGAAGGAAATTCGAGGGTTTAAAGCCCAAGAGGCTCGTAAGGGATGCAGGGATGGAGTTTTGGATTCCCAGCTTGATTTCGGTGAAGGAATTGTGTAGTAGTGGTGAAACAACCCCAAAAATATGACCCAAAAATTTCGTTTTTCGATATAATCAAAACCATAATCAGAGTGTCATATAATAAAACCATACGTGATGTATTCCAACATAATAGAAAACACTGTGCGGAAACTGTATCATACTACGGCAAATCAAAACAAACTAAATCAATCCCAGGCTAAAAGCTAAAGCTGTGGTGTGTGCGATGCCGTCACCCCGAGCTCCTCCCTTTGCTTGCGGAAGTACCTGAAACCAAAACTGAAACTGTAAGCACGAAGCTTAGTGAGCTCCCCCAAACTACCACATACCATACAATAACATATGACACATATTGGGCCTTGCCCACTGCATCGGGCCGAAGCCCGGAAACTGCATCGGACCGAAGTCCGGAACTGACCGGGACCTTGTCCCCTGCATCGGACCGAAGTCCGGAACTAACTGCATCGGACCGAAGTCCGGAACTGACTG